TGTACTACATTTCTAATGGTTGGAACTACATTTTCTTTTCTGGAGATGTCTTTTTAAACCACTGAGGGTCTGGAGATGCCTGTAATGGTACCCTGCATCACCCTAAGTCCACAGTGCTTCCCCAAGTCACAAAGCTCCCAGCCAAACATACACTTCCAGCTCTGAACAGTAGATCCACAGCTTAGGCTCACCAGCCCTGAGCCAGCTGGTCAGCTCTCCTTGTTCTATGGTCTGACACGTTGGAGCTCTGGCCTCTACACAAATAAGTGTCCTTCAGAGAGGCCTGCCCCTCCCAACATCTTCCATCTCTTTCTATTCTAGAAATTGGGCACTTGATTCACACACCCTGCATACCAAAGCCAGGAGGTGTTCATGGACATGGTACCTCAACACCAGTGATGACCCATATGGTGTGTTGGTCTTCAACTATTCCTATGTTATCTTCCTCCCCCACCCTTAGCCAGGTTTTGAATCTGGGCATCTGGTGAACACACAACTCAGATATGCTCTTATCAGTTCCACAGAACCTTCCAGGTTGTACAGTCTTTAGATACATACTCTCATCCCAGAATTTCTTTGTTTATTATAATCCTCATCCACACCTGCATCTTCCCTTCAGTGCAACACCTGAGCCTGGCCATGGTCCACTCATAACATGTTACATGTCTGTGATTTCCCACCCCCAACCACCCCTTTCTCATCGTATTTTAAAACTGTGTCATTCTGTAACCTAGGTAGACCTAGAACTCAGTATATAGTCCAAGATACCTCAATCCCATCATAACCCTCCTGTAGCTTCTCCAGAGTTTGGCTTGGAGATATGAGGCATCACACATGTCTGACTCCTTTTCCTGTGTCCATGTTCCGGTTAAAACTCCAGACTCAGTTGGATGGTAGTAATTGTTTGCCTTTCTGTGCCTGTCCTTGGCTACAGAAGGCAACTAGCTAAAACAAACACCAGCGATGTTTGCCTATGAACTACTCACATAGGCTCATGCTTACCTACTTCATCAATGCACAGCTCACCAATGCATAATTTAGCTAATAGCAAGGGATCAATCTTCCATGTGTCAGAAAAATTATAAGGAGAATTAAAATGAGATAAACTTGAAGCCAAATTATCAAATGATTGTTTAAATAATTAAGGACAAAACAACCTTGCTAGGGCACACCTTTAATCCAAGAACTCATGAAGCAGAAACAGGTGGGTCTCTGAGTTCCAGGTGGACTTGGTCTACAGAGTGAGCTCCAGGATAGCTAGGGCTATGTAGAGAGATCCTGTCTCAAACAAACAAACAAACAAACAAAAAGAACACGGCTTCTTGCCAGATTTTAGAGATGGATAGGCATCTTCAAACCTTTCAAAGACCTATAGAATATGGCATTGAAAATGGTTAGGGTTTTTCTTGACAATGAGCCAATACTGCTCCTGGAAACACTACTTATATCAGAAAGAAAGATGGACATCAAAGAAACTTGTTATGGAGTTTGATTTCAATATGACAAGACTAGCCATTTGGGCAAGATACTGCACTTGTCTGGACTGTTTGACTTTGTGCTGTATAAACTGGACATGCAGGACCCACACAGGGTTCATGCTTCATGGAAGAGTCTGCAGGAATTCTGAAGGACACAGAGAATAATAACTGACAAACTGCCAATATAGGTGGACAGTTTAAACTGTCCTGCTTTGCTGAGGAGTCTACCAGACTCACTATGGCCTATAGGCTGAAGATGGAATATTACAAAATAACTTTAAGTGACTGATGCGGTGGGAGATGTCTCTTGTCATTACTAGAGTTTATAGGCTATCCTTCTGTAGTCTTTGAAAGAGTTGAAGACAGATAGTATGGTTATAGTTTTCCTTAGTCAAACCAGATACTCTCCTCCTATCATAAGTGGCCCAAGTTGCAGATAGCCCAGATCACACTTTTGAGGTCAAACAAGGGTTCACTGCTCTGCAAGAAATCCTGGACAAATTAAGTAGGATGTAGAAGACTGGACGGCCTTGTATGCATTCCATGGGGCTTACTGTCCTGCCCATATCCATTTCCATCTCATTCTCTCTGATTGCTTCCAAGTGTTGTATTCAGGTGTTTTTGGTGAAGCTTTCCTATATGTGTAAAAAAGGTAATAGCTGAGTTGTCATAGACATGGGCAAATGGTTTTACTCAAGAGAATATATACATTTGCATGAGTATGCATAGGTAGTAATATTATTTCTCAGTGTGGTTTGTATGGGATGTCCATTCTGTGTGTGGTGCTTCCAGGATGTGTGTGGTATATGTGATGTATGTGGTGATAGTATGGATCATAGAATCTTGAAATAGTAGTAGAGAAACTTGTTAGCATGACCATGAGGGATTTCTCAACTGAGTTCATTGAAGTGGGAAAAGCCACTCTAGATACAGACAGCAATATTCATTGGTCTGAGATCCCAAGCTGATTAATAACAAGATGAAAGGAAGGGAGATCTGGCATTCTCCTCTCTATCATTTGTGATTGTGGATGCTATATGACCCCGTGCCTCATGTTCCTGCCACCATGCCTCCTTCCTTTACATGAAGGACTGCATGTTTACTATGAACTAAAATCACCTTATTTAAGTTGATTTTTTTCTGACATTTTTTGAAAACCTCAACAAGAAAAGTAACTAATACAGAAAACTGGCATCAGGAGTGGTGCTGCAGCTAAACCCTGACGGTGTGGTTCTTAGGCCTTTGAAAATACATGCAGGAAAAAAGTCTGAAAGTTTGCAACATTGACACAGAAAAGCCCAAGAATGCTTGTGTGTGTTAAATGTGCTTTTGCTGGATATGTGAGAACAGTGTGTATGCATGATATACGTAATGTGATATGGATGGTGGAGAGGCTGTGGAGCAAAGTGGCTCAGTCATGTCAGGAGAAAGTGTGGTAAAGATTGTGCTATGTATGTTACGGTATTCTGTGTTGTGATGTATTGTTTTGTAGAAGGGCATGTAATGTGCATGTGACACATGACATGTTTTTGTGAAATGTCTGAGCTTTTATTGACATATAAAGAATTATTTCTCTATGTCAGCCATGCCTTCTGCTCTTGATGACCATGTCCAATGGGGGAGCTATAGGCAGCATGGACCATTGGAAAATGGACCAAGCATCATGCCTATCTCTCTTCCCACAATCATAGTGAAAGAAAAAAACCCAGGTTCCAAAGGCATCTGGAGCCTGGCATGAGACTAGTCTGTCCTCACTACAGCATTCATTTATCCTTTTCTTTTTCCCCTCCTGGGAGTCTGATACCAGAAGGTGGCATTCACAGATGGGACAGAGCAGCAGTCTCCAGGCTGAGCATGAATGATGTCCAGAAAGTCTTTCTGGAAAGACATTCATTACAGCACACAGGAGAAAAAAAGGAGTGGGAAACTGGAAGCCTGGCCAGTGGGGATAAAGCTCCGCTCTTGGTGGCCTGTACCCAAGCCACCAGTGCTTCATGCTGCCTTTATCTGGAGCTTCCATGGCCCCGAACACATCCATTGCACTAGGAGTAGAACACTCTTCCCAGGGCCCACACTTCCTGACTCACTCAGCAACATAGTAGGTGCTTTAGCATTTGCCTCTCACGTATCCGTGAGCCTCCAACCCAAAGGTCATTTCCTGGCTGCTCCCATCTCAGACATCAGCACTTCACACGAAATCAGTTTCAGTGCACATGGTCTACCAAACACAAATGTACCAAAAAGTACATGGGCTTGAAGCACCCATAGCCACTGCCCAGGAGTTCACAATCCACACCGTGTAGCTCCCCGACAGTCTCGCCATTGTATATCTTTAGCTAAATTCCAAGCAAGGCATCATTTCATGTGTAATTACTTATTCTTTAAGTGAGAAATGATATCCTCAAAAGAAAGGACACATCAGGACAATGCAGGAGTGGTAATGGCATCTGGGATAGGGTGGAGAAGGCAGAAATGCTAGGATGAAAGGAAGAGAGGTGGGAGAGGAAGAAGCAGAGGTCTGGGGTGGGTAGCAGAGAAGATGAGTTGGATGGGGGAAGAGGGTGACACTGTCACACTGACCTTTCTCATTATGAAGCCTGACCTCAGAATCCCTCACTACTTTGGCAGTGAACAGGGGGGAATGCAGATCAATGATTGTAACAGAAAGCTGCAGGGCTCAAACTTATGTCAACTAGACAATACCATCACCAGACTCCTAGCATTTCCACAAATCAGGGCTTTGTTGAACTGACCCGAGCATGTACAGCTGTCCATTGCTGAATTGGAGTTTTGCAGTGGATCCCACAGGGCTCTCTGTAGAATGCCAAGGATGCAAACAGGTTCTTATTATAGGAGCTGAATGAGTCAGAGCCAGGTCTCCTTACACAGGTTCAGAGCCTTTGGGATTTTGTACAGCTATCTCCATCACTGGCTAGTAGGGCTAAGTGTTTGACTCTGGACAGCCTAGGAATCCCAGAAACAAAGGATATCGAAACTGACAATCAGCTATGAGGTATGTCCCCAGCTGAGCACAGGGACCAGGATGTAGACACCACTGAGCCTTCCTCAGGGCAGGGACCAGAAGAGGTAAAGAAAAGCTGCAGGAAACAGAGACTGAAACTGGGCCTCTGCTGGGGTGGGAACAGCTTTCCTATCCACATGGGACAGTGCTGGCTACTGGGATCCATGGGCTGCTGGCTACTGGGATCCATGGGCTCCTGTCCCTTTAATGGCCATGGCCTGGTGGAGGAGAATGCCACCTCCATAGCCTACCATCTGCACAGTGTGCTGGCTAGGCTTCTGCCAAGCAAGAGTGACCTCAGGAGAACCAAGAGTGTGACCCATAGGCATTTGCGGAAGCTCAATATCTGCAAGCTAGAGGGCTTTGGTTACTCTTGGTTATTCTTCTCAAGGTGTGCATTACAGCCTTCCATTCACTCCACAGCCCTACTGCAGTTGTATGTATGGGTCTGTGTGCCCAAGACTGCAGGTAACAGTCAGACCATCTCTTTTCACTTCCAGGATCCAGAGGAGAACCTGCTCCCTCCTACATCACCACCTGCTCCTTCCCCTCCTCCTCCATCTCCATCACCTTTTAACAAAAAACCCTACTGTGATCATTGTGTGCTGTGGCTGTGGAAACAGAGGGGTACAGATGACTGGGTTGGGCAGAATGTGACCTTGGGCTCAGCTGGAGACCACAGGCACAGTCAATCACCAGCACAGAGGCCTGAGTGTGGGGGGAGATACAGGACATGCATCCCTCTGTGTCTGGGGGCTCCTGGATCCCTGTCTCTCTCCCATGGCTAGAGGGCAGCAGCACAAAGGAAGGTTCTCTGAGAGCTGGCAACACTCTTTTGGTAGATTCCAAGTCCCTGGACATGACCACTGTGGCCTGTCTTACCAGACTCTGGTTCCCATATCATTGCCTCAGCCCTAACAATGTGTTTGCTGTCACCCTTAGTCTGTGGATAAATAAGCCAAGATGTATTGGGTCTATCTAGCAATTTCAGATACAGTATATAAAGAAAAGATCAGTCATGAGTTACCTTCAGTCCACCAGGAAAACTGGTCGAATAAATGCCAGTAGCCCTGGCAAGCCAGTACTAAGGCTCTTCGTATGCAGTAGAAGAGCTGCTCTGGTGCCCACTGAAGTGGACAATGGGTTACAAGATGCAGGACTTGAGGGGCATCACAAGATTGTTCTGTGTGTAGGTGAGCCCCAGGAGGCAAACAGCCATCCATCTGAAGCCCCTCTACCCAGGAGGCCCAGGCAAACCCCAAAAAGGGGAAAGACTGACAGCAACCCCAGGGCCCAATATGGAGACCCCACAGGAAATGAAGAAAGAGCCCGCAGGTCTCCCACCATGCCCTACCCTGTCTGTGGAGGGCCCATGGCTGCCTCTTGGGAGCTTCTAAGTCTTCTGCAATTGCCCAGCCCATCTGAGAGCCATTCTTGCCAGTTCCCACAGTGACTACTCCAGAACCCAAGTCTTTAGCTGTTTTGAATGTAGGATCACCTGTTACTCTGTTTCAGGTAATCTTGCTTGATCAAACCCCATTAGTCTGGAAGGAATCCACATCTTTTCATTTTCTGTGGAAACAAAAATAGAAATCCTTTTCCCCAGTAACTTGTCCTTCAACTTAAATTTTGGAGTCAAAGCATTTTTTATTATTATTATTATTTTACATGTCGATCCCAGTTCCCCCTCCCTCCCTCCATTTGACACTCTCTGTGCTCTCACATGCACTCTAACCACCCTCCCCTCCCATCCCCCACCCCAATTCCATATGTAGGGGAATGCCATCCAGTTGGGGGTCATGTAGATCTGACAGGTCATGTGAAGTAGGGAATAGAGCTTCTCTCCTGTCTCTAGATTAAGGCAGTTATCCTTCCATGGGGGATGTGTTCGCAAAGTCCTTTTGTGCACCAGGGATACCTCCTGGCTCCACTGTCTGAGGTCCCTTAGACTGCTCAGTCCTGGCTGAGACCCATATTCAGGGGGGCCTGAGTCAGTCCCATGCTGGCTTCCCTGCTATCAGTCTGGTGGCCTGTTAGCTCCTCTTTGTTCAGGTAAGGTAGGTGTTTCTGCAGCCTGGTCTTGTCCTCTCCATTTGCATCTGGGCTCTACTTTGACTCAGTGTTTATGTATGGGTCTTTGCTCCTGTTTCCAACAGGCATTAGTTGAGGGCTCCATGGATAGGACTTCTTGTGTCCATGTTGACCCAGTTGTAGGCAATGTGGGCCCCAGTGTCTTTAGGGTTGGGGGACAGGTCTCATGCATTCCTGTTTGTTCATGGTCATGTGTGCTTTTCAGGGAAACCTAGATACATGCTGCAGCTACTTTTACCCAAACTGCCACCAGATGCCCTGATGTGCTGTCATTCCAAGGTCCAGGTGAGCCAGACAGGGAAACTGGGAGACTGAGAATGACTGCTGCCTTTATGTTTCAAACTATCAATTTACTGGTTCCACAGTTTCATGGGAGCCCTGCACTGAAAAGTGTTCCCTTTAGCTGAGACTGCTCCCTGCAGGATTTACTGTGTCTTGTGGGGCCCCAAGCCCCCTGCAGGGTACAAAGTTAAGTGAGTATCAGGTAGTACCTGCAGCTCCCCTCAAGGCACAAAGTAAGATGTCCACTGCTACACTCTGTGCTTGGACATAAAAAGGTGTCAGCAGGGATCTGTGCAGGGCAGGGATTCAGCAGGATTTCAGCTGGAACCTAAAGCCTCCTGCAGGACAGTCTGAAGCACTAGGCCTGTGTATGTAAAATCAAACACTAGCCCAGCTCACTTGACAAGTTCAGCAGGTTTCTGCATGTATGCACTCTGGGATTCTACAACAGGCTGGTCTCATGTGTGAGCAAGGAGGAAGTGTCTAAGTGGGATCCCACCCAATACCCTCCTGGGGTGGGGGGTGACTGCAGTCTAGCAGCAGCTGGGGGGTGTAGCAGATGGAGGCCCTGCTCTGCTCTCACCAACTCCCATGAGAGGCCCCTTGAGTGTTCCATGCCCCCTTCCAGGAGGCCCCTTCAGGCAAAGCCACACCCAGGCCCTCTCTTTGGTAGGAACAAAAGCACAGGGATAGGATCCTATTGGAACTGGCTGTGCCTCCCTGTCTGTGTGACCCAGTGGGATGGCTGTTCCTAAGCTCCTGATCCTGGGTGGGAGGGGCATGCAGGCATGAGGACTTGAAGGGGTCTCAGATGTTAGTAAACCTGTGTGAGAAGGCCTGAACTTGAACTTGCTGAGGACTGCTTCCTGGAACCTCATGTAGCTGCTTGTTTGTTCCAGGACTTCATATGCTTTTGTACCTCAACCTATCCTAACCCAAGATATTCTTTAGAAATATCGGTTTCCCGAATACCTGGGCAATTTTTTTAGCAGGAGTAAGTGGTTTTGTTTCCTTTGAACTTTCACAAAATGAATGCCTGGCCCATGACCTTTGACTTCCCAAAGGTAAAAAATAATTGTCTAGTGGGCATCATCACCTTCATAAATACACACAAAATCCATTCCAGTTTGTGAATCTTGAGTCAAACCCGCTGAGGTCTGGGCTCTCTTTGCTCCATGCTGTATCTCTGTGCCTGTTAAGATGAACAAAATGTCTACAATAATGATGGATATCTCCCAAACCCACTCATCTTCCTGTACACACCCTCACAGGACCTGCTTGAAACCTGTACATCATTTCTTTCTCACAGCTGCCTCAGAGAAACTATAACTTCCATTCAGATAGAAATGGTCTAGGGACACTTTCTAGACCACTAGCTCTATTGTTGGAAGGAAACTAGAGATCCTGCAAAGTCAGAACAGCTTTCAGCAGTCATGCCCAGTAGTCAGCCAGAACAGCACCCTGCAGCCTGGCACCAGACCTTCTATTATGTGTGTGTGCCGCCTTTTCTGACCAGCTGGGTCACAGCTGTGGAAACTGAGAATATGGCATTCAGTTTGGGGCTCAGCATGGTGAGGTTGTTGAGTGGTACAGCCAGGTTGTAAACAGTGCCCTCTGTATCCAGGCTCTGTACCAGGTATCATGGTGTCGGGGTGATCAAGGGAAACATTTAAACAGTACACCTTATAGTATAAAGTGTGATATATGTAAAGTGATTATGAATATTCAATTCTCGGGGGCCTTAATGTAACTAATGCCAATGTTCAGAATGTTCTTTTTTGTTCTTGAAGTTCACAAATAAACAAGATATGAAAGAGCCCAACTATTTATAGTCACATGTAAACTAAGCAACATGGAAATAGGAATTTCTATAGCATCTTAACTATGCAGAGGAAGCATTATAATTAGACCTGTAATGTCAAGAGGAATTTCATCAGAAACATAGTGAGGTCCTTGGGGTTCTTGCAGACATGTTTTAAAACTGAAACCAGAATTAGAAATAGTTTGTAGAAAAACATTCATGGTCCCGAGGCTGATGCCCCATTCTTTAAGAGAACATATTTGAAACAGTCAAGGAAAAAGGGACTTTTCTGGTACCAATCTAATCACCAATCAAAGAAATTCTCTGAAAATAATGATTTGTGAGCACTGAGACATTGCAAAGAGGATCACACATTCTAGAGTGTGTGGTGTGCATGTTATAAGAATACAGGGAAACTTTAAAGAAATTTAGAAGATACACAAATTACTTTGGAGACAATAACCTTTGGCCACAAGGAATCATAAAAGACTATTAAAGGGTCCAGAAAACAGGTGGCAACAGCACCAGTGCATACATTTGAGCCCATCATTAATGAGTAAAAGGCCTTGTAGACAGATGTTTGTACAAGGGATTTGAAAGGCAATGCATTTGTAGGTAGCTGGACTATAGGTAGTTATGGAGTTGCTGTGTGTGTGTGTGTGTGTGTGTGTGTGTGTGTGTGTGTGAGTGTGTGTGTGATGTGAAAAATTTGTGCAATGTGGTCCTAAGCAGTGTTTTGTGATAGTTTTCTATATGAATGAAATTCATTCCTTCATAAATACACAGCTTCCCCAATTTTAATTTTGGTTTACATTAGGACTTGACACAAGTAACTTCATGTTGATTATGATTTTGCATCAACGTGGCCAGCATAACCAGTTGAGTCCTGATGGGTCCTAACTCCTCCACCTTAAGTCAGGCAGCTTCAGCCTTCCAATGACATCTCTGTGGCCTTCTGATTTTCTCCTTCCTCTAAGGGCAATATGCCAAAACCACTGTTGTAAATCCTAGCCTACTTTGGACTTTGCTCTAATAGAGACTGTGTTCATATCACACAACAAACATGTACCACACAGATTGATCTTCAGCCCAGTAGGGAGTGTTTCAACCTCTCATAAGCACCTTGTAACTGGAAGATCTGTCTTCTAACGATCCCAGAGTGCTTTCCCATTGCAAAACTCTGTGTTCTAAGATGTCTCTACCGCACAAGGAGCTCTACATTCTCAATCCCATGCACAAACAGATGGCCTACGACTCCCTGCAGGGTACTGCCTCTGCTACCTCCCCATTCCTGAAAATATGTAGAATCCAATGTCATACCCATTCTCTTTGCCTATCATCTAAAGCAACAAAATAATAAGTTTAAGAGGCATTTGTGTATTGATTGG